GCTACCTCAGTCAATGTTTACTCCTCGATTTTAAAAATACATCGGCCAAAAGGGAGACAAAACAAGACTTTTACATTTTCCCAAAACGCAAGCGGTGCTTTTCCACGCAAACCTCACCACAACAATGCTAGTGTGTTCTGGGTGTCTGCCACTTTCATGCAAGCTTGAGCGCATGCTGATAGCACCACTATTTCTGTACTAACTGATTTCCATTGACACTTGAGGATTAGACTTACAAAGACTGATGTAGCAGCATTCAAAGCCATATTTCTTTTGGAGGCGTACAAGTCACTGAATTCAGCTGATGTGCAGAGTTTTGCTGCTTGATCATCCATAAAGTTTCCATCTATTTTTTCAAAGAATGGTAAGCATTTTTTCATGTAAGAAATGCTTTGTTTGGACTTCTAAGAAGATGAATATACATCAAAACGCACCAAATTTAAGGTATTCTATTTATCACTTGAAAACTGCAGTGTGTGTGTGTGTGTGAGAGAGAGAGAGAGAGAGAGAGAGAGAGAGAGAGAGAGAGTTTGCATTGTAATATTGCTGGGTGGATTTTTTTTTTATATCGGAAGCATAACATCTGACGTTAAAAATGTTGTTAAAATGTCAGAATGCCTTAGTATTTGGTGTCTCTCATTTGCATTAACGAAAGCAACACTCAAGCAGCATGAATGAACTCCACAAAATGACGTTCTTCAGAACATGATGGTCTTCAGATGATTTCTTCACAAATTATGTTCTTCAGAATGATTTGAGAAGATCCAGTAAGCATCTTGAGCTCCAATGGAAGCAAAAACATCAGACCGTCTTTTCAAATAAGTGGTCAGTAGCACAACATTTCTCACTATCCTAAAATGTTCTATTTATTTCTAGGTTTAACAAATAGAGCATCGTTTTTTTCCAAAGTGGTGTCTGACTCTTGGACCTCACAGTACACTGTCCCTCAGATTAAACGGGCCAATCCAAGGTAATTCACAGGAGTGCTTATTACCAGTGACCTAACAGCTAACAGGCTTTTCATGTTTCCTCTGGCAGCTTTACCAGATGGGCTGTAAGGGTCATTTGGCCAGCTGAAATGGGTCAGTGACAGACAGGGACAAAGCAGAAATGCGTGCAGAGCAACATCCAGGCCTCTATTCGCTCCTCTGACTCAAACTGTTTTCCATGTCTGCTGTAGAGTCATCTTTCAGCAGAGCTGTGAAGTGTTGCCAGAGTTCCTCTGTAACACAGGCAAACACAGGAGCCAGAGACACTAAGAACTGAGATGCCACAGGTGTTATTTCGCCTGAGCCATATTTCGCCTACTTGCCATATTCACTTGTACAGCTCCACACACCTACTATATGTTAATTATTATCTCATTTGTATACATTTCATTTGTCCAAGGGAATTTTAGGAGGAAAATCCAAAGTTGATACTTAAATTAAGTCGACTCACCCTGCAAGACCTGAAAAATGCATCTAATTTAGATGGTTGGCAGGACATTTTGCTGGTTAAAAATCTTGTTAGAAAAGCCAGCATCCAGAACACATATGCTGGTGACCAGATCTGTCAGTACTATGTGCTTATGACTGTGACAAGGACTGTTTTTGTAGTTTTGCAAGAATTTCTGCTTAAAGCTTCAAGCAAGACAGAAAGAGAGAGATAAGATAAATGCTGTTTACTGAAGGAAGTCTTGAGAGTAACAGAGATTTCTAAATATGGGAGTTAATTATGTTTCTTCATAATTATAAATAGATTGATAAAGAAAATGAGCAGTTCTAGCTGGATGTTTGTTTGTGTTGTGTGTGTGTTTGTGTTGTGTGTGGGGGTCAGGTTGTGCTATCTTTCTGGTGACATCAGCTTAAAGGAGTTGAAAAACTTCAACCCTGTATAACTTCTGTTCCATGGAACACAACAGGAGAAATTTAGATTAATATCCATGTTCGTTTTGCATTTACATTTAGTCATTTAGCAGACGCTTTTATCCAAAGCGACTTACAAATGAGGACAATGAAAGCAATCAAAATCAACAAAAGAGCAATAATACGCAAGTGCTATAACAAGTCTCAGTTAGCTTAACGCAGTACACGTAGCAAGTTTTTCTATATATATATAATAAATAAAAAGAAAACAGATAGAATAGAAAAAGAATAGAGCTAGTGTTAGAGGCCTTTTTTTACTTTTGTTAATTGTATAATAAATGAAAAGAAAGCAAATAGATAGAATACAAAAAGATTAGAGAAGCTAGTGTTAGTTTTTTTTTTTTTTTAAAGAAAACAAGCAGTTAGTAAATAAATAGAGTGCAAGTCTAAAAGGGGCAAGTTTTTTAAAGAATAGAATTAGGATAGAGAGTGCTAGATTTAGAGGGTCAAACAATGTTCAGTGCAATTACAATTAACAGGAGCTTTCTGCTTCAAAAAGGATAAAGTCAAGGCTAAGGAACAAGATTTTTGAGTGAGTTTAACTCGAAAACACTATAATCATGATTCAGGAATTAATCATTCAACATTTGTAAATGATCTGTAACCTGTTCAATTGATTCATTAAAAAGCTTAGACTCAAAAGAGAATGATTCTTTCATGAGTATGATTTTTTCTCTCACTGAAAATGCTGGAAATCAGGGGTTTGCAAGCCCTGTACATGTGAAATAACTTATAGCATCCCCTAAAATTTTATTTTGATAATTCAATAATTTAAGAACATATTCACAGTTCTCTAATTATTGGTTAATTAATTGGTTAATTAATTAATGGTCACATTACATTAGGTAAATAAATGTATAATTATAATTATTATCAAATATATAATAATGAAATTACAGTTAGATATTAAAATAATAATTATTAGTATGATTAAATATGATTAAATAATAATAATACAGAAACAAAAGCAGATAAAGTGAACATAAAACACTAATAAAAGGTTACATATTTTATTCATTTACTGCAAGTTACAATACTAATAGGCCTACTATTATTTTAAATTCTTTAGTTTCAAAAAACACATTATTTTCCACATACAGTACATTAGAGTTTCTCCTCTATGCCCTGCCTTTCTGAAACGTGTAGCTTTTTACAAAGCTCATCGGTCTGAAAAGCGAGGTGTGCTGTGATTGGCCAGCTATCCAGTGTGCTGTGATTGGCCGAATACCTCAAGCGTGTGACGGAAATGTTACGCCCCTTAACATACTGTGATGCCGTGTCCCGGCCGGAGCGACGAGACAAAAACATTAAAACCCATTATAAATGAGGCATTTGTTGCATCTTGAACTGTTCTGGAACAGTGTTGTAAATACAACTTAACCACTGATTTCTAATCATGTCCTCTTTTGGAAGACCAAACAAAGTAGTTTCGCTTTCACAACGAAACACACAGCGTCACACACGGCGGCCTTGAGTGAGCGGCGGTGGATTTGAAGAAGGAGCGTCCGGAGGGCTTGCGGCAACCAGCTTTATGCACCAAGTGCTTGTAACACTCCAAAGAGAAAGGAAAATTTGAAATCGCATCATATGACCCCTTTAAGTAGCAATTGGGAGGGTTTTGTTGTGAAAACCTGGCAACCCTGATCTTACTGCACTCTTGTGGGGAGGTTAGGTTTAGTGGTACAGTAGGTAGCAAATACAGCAAATATAATTAGCTTAGCAGAAATGAGGCCCATTTGTGAGAGATTGTGTTTGTAGACTTCAAAAGCTTTGGGCTTCTAGTAAGAAACTGATCATACACACTGAGATTACAGTGACATCTGTGACATACATATGTTGTCTTTCAGCCAAGTTATGTAAGGCTTTTTTGCAGGAAAAAAATGGATGGAAAAAATCCAGACAGATTGGAATGGAGATTAGCCTGTTTTTCACAGTATCTCATATATCTCTCACAGCATCTCTCTCATTGTACATCTCAACGCTCCACACAATTGCCTCAAATGTTGAAACAGAGAAATATCCCAAAGATGTCACTCTAAAGGGAAGCGATAGAATTCCCTTACTTTGGCAAAGATCTGGGAATGGAAAATGCAAATAAACACATTAACAGGGCTCTTGGGGTCATGTCACCACATATATGAGCACATGTTTTACAGTCAGTGAAGTAGTGAGGGTTTATTCACTGCTGTTTGCAAAGAGGCCAGTCTTTAATGTATTTTCATGGCCCTTATAGCATCAAATATTTTTCAATTGTTTCTCTTCAATGAGATAATATTGTGCAAAGCACTGATGTCTTGGTCTTTTCAGAGTAATTCTGTCATGTTGAAGTACTGTTTTATGTAACTGTCTGTAGTTAAGCTACAGGACACCTTTTTTTTTTTTTTATTGGTTTTTGGATTATTGCAGGAAATGTGGCCAGAAAACATTTATGATTCTTACACATTTTGACATCATGGAAATCATGTAAAAAAAATAAAAAATAAAAAAAAGTCATGTACTTCATGAAAATCTTCACAAATGAATACAACTTTTATGAAATTTAAAGCCCAAATACTGTTTTATGAAACATAGGCTACGGGATTTTGTTAACATTTTTATGTTGTAGAATAAAACATGAAAATGTCTTAAACTTGTGTTAACCACAGCCCTTATTTCAGATGTTTCTAAAAACCCATTCACAAAAACCATTGGCATCAGGACGATGAAATCAAAAATGCCAAAATGCTAATCTAGATCCTGAATGCTAATTAGAACCATGTCCTGACACACTGGATGGAGATCAACACCATGATGAAAGTGTGCTGCTGTCACCTGGATCTGGATGGGCTGGGTGGTGGCTTGGTGGATAAAAAAGAGAGGAAATATTGATTTTATATGCAATATTTATCAGAAACCACATATTATTTCCTTACATCCAAATGAGCTTTTTTTTCAGAGTACAGTTTGACTCCTTGAACTGTCAAATTACCCTCTTCCAAACATCTTCACAAGAACATACTTAACCTTATATCGCAAGTAAATAATGAATATAGATAAGATTGCTGATTACTGTAATTATGTCCTCATATCTCAGTGGTATGGATATTTTATATGCTGACACTTTCCCACCACATGAAAGCGTGAGTTTACGCTCACACCATTGAGTTAGTGACGATGCAGCACTGCTACCTGTAGGACATTACATGTATTACATTATTCAGTGTAATGACAGCAATGACACCAGTAGGTTTTTATGGTTTAAGATGGGTTCTCATTAAATAAACACTTAATCAATAGAACACACAAAAGGTCATACATTTAAATATTGTGATTGTGAAATTATGTTTTCTATCAATTCCAGTTTGAGATCATTTCAGGTAAATGAAAAAAGACGCTTTAAAAAAAAAAATGATCACAAAGACAACGGGCCAAGGTCTACATCACACAATCAACAGAACATAAATGACAAATTGAGTATATATGGCAAACATTATCACATGCAGGCAACTTGAATGTTAATAATAATGGCACTGCAAAATGATTATTAGTAAAAAAAGAGACCGCTAAAGAAAGGTACTACTGTTGTCAACAGTAGTTTTCTCCTTCTCAATCAGGTTCCTTGGCCAGTGCTTCCCTGGAACTACAGCCCATTGCTCTACACTGTAGCAGTCAGGTGCATTTTGGAGCTGTTTACACCTGGTATTAACATTCATCTTGGTTAATTTAGTCACAAGTGGTCACCCACAAGAAAAGGTTGAGAACATTGTTGCTTCCAAATAAGTTTCAAATTTTAATCTCACCACAAGTGTGACATTTTGAGGCATATTCATTTATGAACTGAACTTCAAAACTGCAACTGAGTTTCCATGAAGTCTTGTGCATGTAATTACAGGATTTTCCAAATATTTTGATTCGGTTATTTTCTTTTAAAGGCATAAATAATTGGATACGTTGTTTGAGACCATTGCTTTAGCACAAAGAATGACTGACAGGTGAGTAGGTGGCCCTTCGTGGTTCGAATTGTGTTTCTGTCCACCTTATTTGGTTTCAGTGATTCGATCACAGAATGTTTTGGACCCCATTTACACTGGATTTTATTACTGTCTACTTGTGAAGGGATCACCTGAAACTGATGTTAATACCAGGAGCTTTTGTGTCAGAGTTCATGTAGAGGTGACGACTCTAATGCCAAAGTACAATCGGAGCTGCTCCAGAAAGATGAAAGTAAGTACAGTGTGAGGAATCAGGCGGATTCCAGCTGGGACAAGGCCCTGCGGAGACAAAACACACATTTACTACCAGAGTTTAACACACACTCAGAATGTATAACACTCTTTATTGCCATAAAAAATGGTTTTCACCTTGTAGAAAGCTTTAGGTCCGAGTTTTCCAGTATCAGACAGACAATGAATCACCCCCTACCACAGAAATTAGTGTGTCACAACTGTTTTAAATGTTTTTAAAAGAAGTCTCTTATGCTCACCAAGTCTACATTTATTTGATCAAAAATACAGTAAAAACAAGTATACTGTAAAATATTATTACAATTTAAAATGACTTTTCCATTTTAATATATTCTGAAATGTAATGTATTACTATGCTGCAAAGCTGAATTTTCAGCATCATTATTCCAGTCTTCAGCGTCACATGATACCTTAGAAATCATTCTAATATACTGATTTGCTGCTCAAGAAACATTCCTTATTATTATCAATGACAACAGTTGTGCTGCTTAATATATTTGTAGAAACATGCATTTTTCAGGATACTTTGATGAACATAATTTTCAACAGAAAAGTATTTTCTAAATTATATTAATATTTTGTAACTTGATTAATGTCTCTACTGTCATTTTTGATCAAATCTGTTCTTGCTGAATAAAGGCATAATATTGAAAAAAAATCTAAGAAATCAAACTTTTGAACAAGTAGTGTATGGTGAATTAAAAAAATCAAGGAAATTCAAGATGCAATGTAGATGTAAGATAAAAAATAATAAAAAAAGAAAATTACAAAATTGAAAATTCAAGCAGAATCGTACCCTGTATTCCCCCTTTGAATTCATCAGTCTGGTTTTCACCACATCCATAGGCTGACAGAGAACAGTAGCACAACCTCCCTGTGAAGAAAACATTAAAATATTACTAAGTGAGCTAAGGTGAACTACTAAGTAGAATCATCAACAAAACATCATCAACAACTTTTAAATTTTTAAAAAGACATGCCAAAAAAAAGGAATCGTCTTAAAGTCACAGTAGCAAAAACAGCTTGTTTAGTGAGAGAGAAGGTGTAAATGGTCATGCAAATTAAATCAAACTACTACATTACTACTTGACCAACATTATAAGTGGACCTTAGGGAAAAATAAAATAAAATAAAAATGTAACCTTTAAAGAAGTAATGGTTAGTTTATAATGCATTCCTGAGGAGGAGGGCAACTCACCGCAATGAAGCTAGCAACAAAGTGAGTGAAAATGTTATCAGTCATCAAACCAGTTCCCAGAACCAGCTGCTTGGCCTGGTCATAACAGGAGAGCTAGAAGAACCACAGAAGACTAGTGAGGAACTGAGACTATCCTGGTCATGGCAAAATGACAGACCACTCACAGCCTATTCTATGACTGTCTGCAAGTGTGGCTATAAAAACTAAAGTTTTTCCTTTACCTGCCCCACAGTGACCATGGCCCCTCTACTAGCTGCCATTGACGCTCCAGAGAACAGCTTCCTTATTCCCTCTGTGAGAAAAAATATGACTCTTCTGTAGTTACATCGTGTACTAAGACGACGGAAAATGAAATGTTGCGATTTTCTAGGCCGATACGGCTAGGAACTATACTCTCATTCCGCCAGACCCGGAGATCGGTTGAATGGATTCGAAAATGGTAAAACTCAACTGTTTAACTCTAGGGGAGTTGGAAAATGAGCCTATTTTCAAAAATAGTGGAGTGTTCCTTAAAGGCAGGAGCTCTTACAAACAGAGCTCTATGAATAATTCAAATAACCCCAACCCTTGTCTGTTCTCTCTTTCCTGATGGATGAGTAAGTAGCACAGGCCCACATTCTGTCATTACACATTTCCAGATTGCTGTGGGAAGGTTTTAATCTGTGACTTTAAGTGCAGAAATTGGCATGCATACCTCTTCAGCAACAAAACAATGCTGCAATTCATTCTATACTGTATTCTGTGACAGTATCTTTTCAGGCAGCTCATCTGATTTCTTATAGTACTATGCCAAAATGTGTCTCATTTTTTTTGTAAACGGATTTTCTTATTCTCACCTTCTTTCCAGACACGTGCCAATCCATCAAGAGCATGTGCATAGCTGCAAAACACCATATGTTGTCATGACAGATTATTTTGTTTTAGTTTGGTGTGTACTTCATATTTTTTGAGACTCACTTTCTTCTTAATTCAGGTGGCAACTTCACATCATTCTGCATTCTGTTATAAAACACAGGGTAGAGGAAAAGGCACACAATTACTTGTGTCTCAAAATCTCCTTGTGTAGGGCAAGGAGAGCATGGATCTAATTGTGAAGTAAATTTATTAAATGAAAAACAAAATCAAAACACTCTGCAACTCAGGAGCACAGGATAAACAGAGGAGCAAAGCAAACCAACGGAGGAAATGACCACGGCAGAGGAAAAGACCACATGGAGACCCCCAATGGAGGAGGCAGCAGGTGAAGAGATCATGGTGGAACCAGTGGAGGAGATGACCATGGTAGTGCCATAGGGATGGAGATCCAAGGAGGAGATGGCTGGACAACTGACCATGGAGGAGCCAGTGGATTAGAAGACTTAGGAGGAGCCAGAGGAGGTGAAAACCTAAGTGGAGCCAGTGAATGGTGGACCAGGGCGCCGTCACAGGCTTGGGGGACCAAGGTGGAGCCAGGGGGATAAGCCCCAGTGAAGCAAGGTAAGGCAACAGACCAACTTGGAGACTGAGAGATGAGAAGCCTGGTGGAATAAGAGGGATGACAAACCATTGTGAAGGTTGAACGTCGCTGGTTGGCTGGACCTGGGTTGCCATGAGACCGAGGTTGCACCAGTAGAGCTGCAGGGCTGAGAAGGATTCTGGCAGAATATCTAAAGGCAGGGCAAGGGCACTGGATGGGTGGAGTGAATGAGGATGGGTTTTGGGGGTGGGCTTAAGAGTGGGGATTACTTCCAGGACACTCAGATCAATAAGAGTTGGCTCTAGAACGGACTGGGCAACTGGCACTGGCTCAAGGTTGGACAGGGTGGTGGGACTGACAGCTCCTTGGATTGGGGGTCTGTAAAGCACCGGCTTAGGGCCCATGGTGGGCATGTGCATTGGCTCGGGGCCCATGACTGGTGTGATGAGGGGCTGGGAGGGCTCAGGAAGGAAATCCAGGGCTGGTGCGGACACAAAGAGGGTGAGAGTCTCCTCCACCTCACCCACTGTGAAGGGGAATCCATTGTGCTGGAGCACCTCACAGAAAGTGCCCCTTGAGGACCATCCCCAGGAAGATGAGATCTTGTCTGTGTATTTAGTCCAGCATGGAAAAATATACAGAGGGATTTGTCTGGGTAATGTACCATGTGAGCCAGGTCTTAAAACTCACATGTAAAATCCTTGAGGAACCGATCCCCTGAATGAGGAGGAGGATTCGTACCGCTATTAGATCCATTTTAAGGGTCTGTTCTTGACATTTGAAGCATAGATCTATTTGCAAAGCAGTAAATTTAACAAACAAAAACCACTCTGGAAATTGGGAGCACAATATAAACTGAGGAGAAAAGTTTATAACCAACATTATATTGATGAGAACAGTGCCAAGAGCCGAAGCAAACAGGAATTTATACATAGGCTAAATAAGGCAGAAAACAAGGAACAGGTGGGACCGATCAATTAACAAATCAATAACCATATTAACAAATGAAACCAACACTAAACACAGGCACTCTCAGAAATAAACGTACAAATGCTGTCACTGGTGTGGTACCTTTCCAACTTTGTACCTAAAGGGTCCATATTGGTACCTTAAAAGTAACATATTAGAAAATAAAAAAAAATTACCTTGTGGAAAGGTACTGCGCCAACTTTTGTACCTTTATTTCTGAGAGTGGGGAATGAAACTGAACTGAAACATGAAGCAAGACATGACACATAGCAGTTTTTTATTTACACAAAAAAGATTACCCAAACAGATCTACAGTTGCTTCACCATGAAAAACACTCACAACTCTGTTTTATGAGAAATTATTAATAAAAAACTCTGCTGCTGTTTTATGAGACTCCCTTGTGTAAAACAGTGTCACTCACCTGACATTAACCATGTCCGCTGGTGTCCCAATAAACCCACCAGTAAGACCTACAGATTAAGAAATTAAAGGAACAGGTTTTTCTTTCTTCTGTTTTGTTGTATGAAAACAGAGCCACTCAGACATTTTATAATCTCATTTTGTGTTTTATAGAAAGAAATTATAACACAGGATAAAAATTACGTGTTTGGATAAATGATGACATAATTTTAATTTTGGGGTGAACTGTCCTTTTAAAACAGAGGTCCTCAACAAGGGGACCTCAGAAAACTTCCAAGGGGGCCTTAATATTACTTTAAATGATTTAAAATTATTTTTTATAAAGAATTTTTTTTCTAGCTATCTCAAGCTCTAAAATATTTTATTAAATAAACTGTGAAATTGTGAGTAGTAAAAAAAAAAAAAAAAAAAATCCTTATTCTGTAAATCACAAATTTGGAAAAATCATGTAAATGATAGAGTGAGATACCTGAAGAACATTCTGCTATTAAAACTATATAATACAATTGTGGACAGTGGGAGTCTGGAGTCAAAACGTTTGACAATCACTGTTTTAAAAGATGCCAAACAGAGAGATCCATCTTCATTATATGCTTCAGGCAAATTAACAGAGTTACAGGATTATGTTTTTACCTCCAAAAGCAGCCAGCAAGATCTTCTGGTAGAAGGGCATGGGCCCCTGGTTTTGACTAGATATCTTGTCTCTCACAGTTTCATAAATGGCAAAGCGGGTCATTGAGTAAGTCATCTAGAAGAGTGAACATGGCACCACACTGTCAAAAGAATCTTTACCATTTAGGACGCCTTGTTGTAAGACCTTAAAGTGATCACACAAGCATAAATAAGCCAAATCCTCTGCAGAGGCACTAACCTGCCTGCAGAGTGAAGCACTGAGCCCATTGTAGAGTGCTAGCACCCCATCACTGCGCACCACCTGCATAGCCATGCCAGTCATCCTCATCTTCACCTCCTGCTGGGTTTGCAGATGAACCTGAAGGTGGAGGAAAGAACTAAGGCAAAACCAGTATAGACTATACTAGACTACTGTACTATCTATACTACACTTCAGTATCTACTGTATTAAGGTATACTGGAACTACTATACAATACTACACCCTTCAAAATAAAGGTTCAAAAATTTTTTTATTTTTTTGCAGCGATGCCATAAGAATAACCATTTTTGGTTCCCCAAAGAACCTTGCAGTGAACAGTTCCTAAAATAACCTTTTTTTTTTTTTTTCTTAGTGTGAAGAACATTTTAATAGTCTAAAAAAGATTCCACAGATATTAAAGGTTCTGCATGGAACCATGGATGACTATAAAGAACCTTTTTCTTAGCTCAGTTAGGTTTGTCAATATAATATAATTAAATAATTTTAAGTTATCCTGCAGTCCCCTTGGAAGTGTGCTGACCCCCTGGTTGAGAACCACTGAGTGATTCTATAATTGCAGGTACATTTGGTGTCATTATTTTTTTTCTGCTATTTTCAAATGGTTATATTTTTTATTATTTTAATACTGTGTTACTCATTGTTATGAATTACAAGATGTTACAGTCTATAACAATATAATAGTTTTTGCAAAAAGTGTCTTACATAGCTGAAAATCATGATTTCTTGTTGTCCAAATTAGTCAGTGCATTTTTTCCATCATGTATCATTGTGTAATCAAAATATTTTATTGTACTTTTCTTTTGGTAAAATTTCATTCATTTTATTTATAAAAGCCCTAAAGAGTCATTTACCTAATTCTACAACATTATTTTAAAAAAATAATAATAATGTTTTTCTTATAAAAATGTGTGTCCATAAATCGTGTGTCAACTCTGTTACCATCAATATCCATCCATAACTGATGTATTTATTGTAATGTTTATAATTATGTTCATTAGGCATGGGGGGGGGGCTACTTGGTTATATTTTTAATTATTTTAATACTGTGTTACTCATTGTTATGAATTACAAGATGTTACAGTCCATAACAATATAATATTTTTTTGCAAAAAGTGTCTTAAATAGCTGAAAATCATGATTTCTTGTTGTCCGAATTAGTCAGTGCATTTTTTCCATCATGTATCATTGTGTAATCAAAATATTTTATTGTACTTTTCTTTTGGTAAAATTTCATTCATTTTATTTATAAAAGCCCTAAAGAGTCATTTACCTAATTCTACAACATTATTTAAAAAAAATAATAATAATGTTTTTCTTATAAAAATGTGTGTCCATAAATCGTGCGTCAACTCTGTTACCGTACCATACTTTGCCTTTAATTGAGTGGAATTATCTCCCACAACTATGTAAGATACAGGAAATGATATCACTTTCCCTCACTGTTAAGATCTGAAGCACTGAAAAGTCGATGTGCTCTCTCTAAGAAAATATTTTAATATAAAAAGTTACCACAATATCAAAAGGAAAACATATTTTTTCATTGATCACACTTTGTGTTATTTAAAAGTATTTTAATCATGATTTCATTAGTGCCATGTGCTCTTAGCATTTATGCTAGCAAGTGGAGTTTTTGGCAAAAAATAAAGAAAATTGTCAATTCTGTTACCGTCAAACTCTGTTACCAAGGTAGAGTAACAATGTTGACAATGCTGTAACAGAATTGACAGTCCATCGGACAATTCTGTCAATTCTGTTACTTGACAATTCTGTCACTTAAAGGGTCAACTCTGTTTATGAACTATTTTCACAAAAAACAATACATTTGTTGTTTAAAATCCTAATAAACATTATTGATTTATTTTTGCACCCTTATAATATTTCTTTTTTTAACTGGATATTGTATATAATACATTTTCAGATGAAAAATATTTGCCCCAAGTGGACGGTGAAGACATAGGTATTTTTTTAATTTTAAAGGTATGCATAGGTGAAATATTATCTCAGTTTCAAGTGATGGAATGTAAGGACTGTTTGTCTAATGAAACAAGAAGGATTTTTCCTGTTATGATTTATTGTTATTTCTACACATTGGCTAATTTGTCCGTAACAGAGTTGACAAACAATACCATAAAGACATCTGTTTTTTATTAAAAGTAAAAAAAAAAAAAACTTGTGTTTGGCAAGCACTGAATTATTAAAATTAAATATGTTTTCAATAATATACTGAACAAAAAAAATCGGTTAGTGAAAAGTTTTTTTCTTAACTTTCTGCAATGCCAAATGTATCTCCAATTATAGAATCACCCCACTGTACAATACTGTACCTTACTATACCAAAACAGAATTAGAAAAATTATGATGCCCTACTGTTCCATAAATATGTTTACATTTGCAGTATACTATACTCCATACTATACTATAGTATAATATTTGCTAATACAGTGGTTCTCAACAAGGGGGCCAGAAGATGGCTCAAAATTATTTAAAATATGACAAAACAATCAATAAAACATAAAATATTCACCCATCAACAACTGTCTTGAAAAACCTGCATATATGAGGTAGCCTCATTTTAAAAGTGTTATTTCTAGACCTGGAAAAGTCATGTAAAAAAAAAATGGGGATTTTTAATGAAAATACATTTTACACAATACAAATGTTCTGGAAATTGTGGGGGTCAAAATGTTTGAACCACTGCTACCTATACTTTACTAGTCTATACTATACTGTGCTATAATATACTTTACTAAAACACATTTACTGTATAGCTGTTACACTTTAAAGGCAAATACATTAAGATTGCCGGTAGATTCCTAGCTCGTACCTTTATTAAGTCCAGTGGATGAGTGCAACAGGCGGCCGCGCACGAGGCAATTCCTCCGAAGTACCAGCGCGAAATGCGCGTCTCTGTCATGATTGAATCTCGGTTTATTCCGTGACGACACGATGAAGGAATAAAGTCGAATAACGCGACTCACACGCGACATTAACCGCTCGGTTCTGTGATAAAAGTCCCAGTGATAATCCTAGATCTAGCTACACTGCAGTTGATTGACTTAGTGCTGCCGGAAGACCTGCACTGTCAAATAGTTCCTTTCATCCACTATACATGGGATTACAAACGCGCAGATAGGCTAGTACAGAAAGTTACTCATTTGTAAGCATAGAAATAAGGTTTACAGATAGGCCTATAGCGGGGAAACGCGTGGGTTAAGGAGAAGTGAGCCGCTCGGTATATTAGCGCGTCATGCTGCCAACTCGGACACTCAAGCGGCCTTACAAGACCGAGCATCTGTCAGAAGAATGTATCATGTGCCAAGGCAACGTTGTTGCTTTAAGGGGACATGCAGTTGGCATAACTCACACAGCACGGTTTGTGTTCATCCTGAAATTCCTTTTTATTTGTATTTTTATTGTTCAAGTTTATGATGGCTTTTGAATGAATCAAAGAATTATTATTGAGCCCTATCTAGCCTGTCAGTTCTTGAAACCAATGAAAACGCTTTTGTGCTGAGAAAGTTTCACAAGGATCTCCTCATCCTTGAGCGTGCTTTCAGTGAGAAGTGTGTAGGCTTACGTGACACATATAAATAGAATCAAGACATGTTTGACCTCTGTAGGGTTTGTCAAAGGCGGTGGGTCAATAAAGTCCACCATGTGGTTGCTTCTAGACTTCTATTAATTTTTGAGACCTATTCAGTTTGTTTTTCAAACATCTAGTCATAATTGTGACCACTTTTCGCAGCTTTAGAAAAAATGATTGTTTATAAATCTAAATATATTTTCAAGATGCCGAAGCAAACTTGCATCCATGACCAGTGACAGACGTCTGAACCCATGATGCCTGTTCTCCAGTCTCTTTAGGTCATACATTGGTTCAGGCACGTGCACACATAGACATCAAAGTGGGCTTGAGCACCTGCCCTTTTTCTTCCTGGAGAGAAATTGCCCTTTTTTCTGGGGAGTATTTTTTTTTTAATGAATATATGTATATATGTGTGCGTGTGTATGTGTTTCTGTTTGCGCACAGCTTTCCCTGTCAAACAAATAAAAAATCAAAATATCAGGTCAGGTCGGGAACTGTTGAGACTTTCTCCTCTCTGCGTCTCCACGCAGCACAGCAGTGTAGCACACATTGATCGGCACACGCACAGTCACAGACAGACAGAGAGCTACAGAAGTGAAGACCTCCCTCCCTTTCCAGTTGTGCTTGTCTTGGTGTGGAGGTGAGTGGTGATGAACAAAAGACTAAGCTACCTGTGCCTCGAATTTACAGCTAATTATCCAAAAGACAAAAGCTAAATATAGTTAATTTGTCTTGCTAACGTCCATGACTCAGCTGTAAGTTAGCTAAAGTTTAGCTAAGGCAATAGGAAGTCTAGTAGGTTACACCAGTGTGCGTTCTTTCACTGCATGATTCAGTTTATTAAAATGCATTTAGAATGATCACAAAATTCAAGATATGGGGGCAGAAATGTATATATTTATATAATTTCATATAGTTAATCAATATCACACAAAGACTTTATACAGCAGTTCAATAAACAAGAATGTAATACACTTACGTTAGACACAATTGACTGCTTTTTCTCTATTTCGCCAACAAATATAATTCCAATTTGCATCTCTGAGCAACATGACGGTGTTTCGTTCCTGAACGAATCAACCGTTTAAATTATTTGGTTCAATAGCAATGACTCACTTATTAACAGTGACTTGCTGCCACCTACTGGCGGTTTTAATTTCACATTTAAAGTATCTTTTAATTTTTTTTT